TCAAAGTACTGAGTAAAAGTGAGCAGTTAAGATTTTCCAAAAATGACATTTATTGGGAGGTGACTTCTCAAAAAATAAATTTTCTAACAGTGTGCAGCTGTGATGGGTTGTGTACAAAATAATAAGGTGTCAGAATGGTATATATTTATATTTCTCATCCAACCACAATTAAATTCACTCTATCCAGGAGACACAGTTTATCAGGATAGTGTTTTTAAAGTAATAACAACTCGGAATAAAATAGGAGTAACAACTTTCTACTTCTTACCTTTTTAAAAAATGTAGTGAAAGTACAGATAATTGTGTAAAAATGTAATGAGTAAAAGTAAAAAGTACACTGAAAATAATTACTCGAGTAAAGTACAGCTAACCAAAATTTCTACTTAAGTACAGTRACAAAGTATTTGTACTTAGTTACTTTACAACTCTGCTTACTTCACAGTTACAAGTTTACGTACACAAGATTTATATGTCTTTAAATATTTTGGGATGTGAATGCATTTTAAGGCACGTCTCAAATCTCAAACCCACTGCTTCTATGTTCCAAATCACTGAGTATTGCACACTCGTCTGTTCATTCAGTTCTGAAAATATAAAATATAAGCACCATGGGAATGTCCTGCCATCATACTGAAGGAAGGAAAAAAGGATATGGGTTCTGTAGCCATTAGAATAATGTGTTTTGGTCTGAAATGTGCAAATCAACCCTAAAACAAAAGCTAAAGACTGAAGAGGATGCTAAAGCTAGTCAGGAAGTTATTATCCACAGAGAAATGAGTCCTAGACCAACCTATACTGCAAGGACACTCCAGTGAGAAAGAAGCCATAAAAACCCAGATTGCATGTTGTAAATGCAGACAGGGGCAAATATCTTATTTTATTTTTATCTATCATTATGAACACAATGGAGATCAGCGAGGAGAACACAATCAGTATGATGATCTGAAGTGAGTGAAGACCTGAAGTTGAAGTAGGCATGAAGGACTGATTACAAGAGGCCTCAGCTGGGCTAAATGAGGCAGGGAATACAATGATGAAGGATGCAGAAGAAACTGGTAAACAAGAAAATTTCCAAAAAAAAAACATAACAAAAATATAAATAAACTTAATCTAAAAATTAAAACATAACAAAATCCAATGATATTCAAGGAGAATGTGACTCAGCTCTTCCACAAAAACTCATAAAGGCAGCAGGCCCAGAGGAGTCTCCCCTATAACTTGCCTCAAGAGCTGTGCTAACCAGCTGGCTCCACCCAGACCTTCAAAAATCACTGGAGCTGTGTGAAGTTCACTATTGTTGCAAACACTCAACCATCATCCTGGTCCTCATGAACAGTGGAGGAGCCAGACATTTTTCTCAGGGGTGGCCAGACGGGGACCACTACTCACACAGGGGTGGCCAGACGGGGACCACTACTCACACAGGGGTGGCCAGACGGGGACCACTACTCAC